GTACTTTTTCCTTAGACCCACTTTCATAATTACAGTTGAATAATATGTAATTGGCTGGGTGCCATGGCTTTCTTCTGTAATCCCAGCACTTTGGGAGGCCAAGGCAGGTGGATTGCCTGAGGTCAGGAGTTCAAGACCAGCCTGACCAATATGATGAAAGCCTGTCACTACTAAAAATACAAAAATCAGTGAGGTGTGGTGGCAGGCACCTGTAATCCCAGCTACTCGGGAGGCTGAGGCAGGAGAATCACTTGAACCCGGGAGGTGGAGGTTGCAGTGAGCTGAGGTCACATCCCTACAGTCCAGGCTGGGTAACAAGAGCGAAACTCCATTTCAAAAAATAAAAAATAAATAATGTGTAATTATTCCATACTTCTCTTTCACATGCTGTAAGCTCATTGAGGATAAGATTTGTGTGCCTTGTTCATTATTGTATCTCTGGTGCCTGGCTCAGCACCTGGCACATAGTAGGTACTCAGTTAACATTTAGGACTCAGTGAATGAACTAACACATGCTCCTTTCCCCATTGCTCAGCACTGTGCCTCCTTGGGAAAGTACCAATAAGTGCAACCATAGGCCCTTGTAGAGGTCCAGTCAAGTCAGAACCAACTAACCTGTTTAACCTGCAGCTTGGGATGCTCTAGGTCCTGGCAGTTGAGATGGGCCAGTGGCAGGGCCCAGGGGTCCTGGAGCTGCCAGGCTGAGAGATCTGGCTCAGATGCAGTTTTTGTCTTAGCCTCAGAATAAGACCAGAAAAGTCCTGTTGGTTCTCAGAGTCCTTGACTGCCTTTGTGGGTGCCTTGTCAGATACTTGGCACCCTCACTTCAGGAGACTGCAGCTGCAAGGATCATGTGAGACATTAGATACTGCTATGGCCTCAATGTTTGTGGCCCCCCAAAATTCCGATGTTGAAACCTGATTCCCCCCAAGGTGGTGGTATTAGGAGGTGGGGCCTTTAGGAAATGATTATGTCATGGGGGCAGAGCTACCAGAAAAAGATTAGTAAATATCCTTATTAAAAAAAAAACAACCAAGGGGTGCCCAGAGAATCCCTGGCCCCTTCTGCCATGTAAGGAGGACACAGAAAGAAAGCTCCATCTATAAAACCAGGAAGTGAGCCCTCACCAGACACCAAATCTGCCAGTGCCTTGATCTTGGACCTTCCATCCGGTAGAACTGTGAAAAAGAAATTGCCACTACTTATAAGCCACTCAGTTTATAGTATTGTATATGGTTATAGCCATGTAAAAGACTAAGGCAGATACCAAAGGGTTTAAAGAAATCAATCAGTTTGCGTAAGTACTTACTTAGGAAGAACAGACTAAAAAATCTCAAATAAATGGTGCTTTTTGTGTAGTGTGCAATTCAAAAATTTTGTATTTACAAGGACATAGAAGCAGATCTGAACACCACCCACAGATTTTTTGCCCAAAGCAAAGTCAACACTCATCTAAGCTTAGAGCATCCCAGAAAATTCTCTTAGCCCTTTTAAAGCTGCTTGGGCACTACAGTCTTCTGTGAAAACACCCAGCAGTGTCTCCCTGTAGATTCCAGATACTGCTGCTCTGGAACCAGAGGAACTAAATGAGGTTCTAGCTTCCAGTAATGGCCTCTCACCCATGATCCTTTCACTGAGCACACCTCGGCCTCTGGCTAGTCTCTAGGCAGGTGCAACGAATGAGAGCTTGTACTGTCATCAAGGGACCAGTCATTTATCAGGATGTCTATTGTTCCAAAGAGCCAGGCTCAGCACCTATAGTACCTACTCCAAAGAGTTCATGTGAGGATTAAAAGGAACAGTGCACTTAGCCCCGCCTAGCCTGGCAGATGGTAGCTGCTCCAGAATGTTAGCCATGATCATTACTGAGGCTAAGAATGCTGGAAGCTCTCCCATAAAAATTACTTCTGAAATAACCTTCATTTCAGAAGTTTTTTTCTTAATCTCTCAGAACTCACAAAAATGAGAAGCCAAATATTCCTCGAAGAGAAAGGGTCAAGGCTCTTTTCCTTGTTGTTTTCTTATGTTTCATTCTTTTGGTTTTCCTGACAAATATTCACCAACGTTCCTACTATGTGCAAGAATGGTGCCCAACACCGGGATACTACAGAGTCTTGGCCCTGTAGCTCTTGCAACTCAGGAGGAGGCACCTACTGAACAAATTACAAAAATTGTCATTCTTAATAACTTAATGACAATAGAAGGAAAAACCAGAAATACTATAATAACACAAAACAAGAAGGAAAAAATAAAAATAAAAACAAGTAAAAAAACACACACAAAAAACAGGGTAGGGTCTGACCTAGTTTGTGACTTCAGAAAAGCTTCCTTGAGCAAGTCACGGCTGAGCTGAGCTTTTTTTTTTTTGAGACAGAGTTTCGCTTGTTTCCCAGGCTGGAGTGCAATGGTGCGATCTCGGCTCACCACAACCTCCGCCTCCTGGGTTCAGGCAATTCTCCTGCCTCAGCCTCCCGAGTAGCTGGGTTTACAGGCACGCGCCACCATGCCCAGCTAATTTTTTTTTGTATTTTTAGTAGAGACGGGGTTTCACCATGTTGACCAGGATGGTCTAGATCTCTTGACCTCGTGATCCACCTGCCTCAGCCTCCCAAGTGCTGAGATTACAGGCTTGAGCCAACGCACCCGGCCTGAGCTGAGCTTTAAAAGATGAATGGGAACCAACCAAGACAAGGGTTGGATGTCAGAAGTGGAAGGACTACTCAGCCAGAGGGACAGCAAAAACAAAGCTATGAAGGAGCAAGGCAGGTTTTCAGTTCACTAGTGGGGTGCGTGTGTGTGTGTATGTGTATGCATGTACATATGTGTGTGATTATATTTGCTTGTTTTTACTTTTCTCTACAGACAAGAGACATGGAAATTATTAAGCCTAAACATGGAGTTGTAGAACAAGCTGGAAAGGAAATCCTCAGACCTGGGCACTGGTTATAGCTGAGTCATTTTTTTTTTTTTTTTTTGCCTCTGTGTGTGTACCTGTGAGATCTCAAAGTCTTTAACTTTTTGAGATTTCCATTTATCTGCAAAATGAGGGTCTTAGGATAAAATGATCCTTAGGATGACTCTAGGGACCTCTTACACTTCTAGGAGATTAAAACTGACACATATCAGATCCTTCTCCTCTGGGTATGTTATGTTTCTGGTGTGTGCCCCCCCCAACCCCCTCCCCACACACAAATGGAACACAATTGATTAGGGAGTGGATATCTGACTCAGGCTAGATCAATCAGATTTTTGTTTAAGTTAGACTGGTCCCTTGAGTGAAAAAGACAAAAACTGGGAGGTTGTAGAGACACCACTTTCTTCCCAGTGGGTAGACTAAGAAGCAGAAGAAGGAGCATTTCAGAGACAGAGAATGAAACATCTGGGCCGAAAGAAGCTGCCAGGGTCCTGACAGCTTCCAAGTTCCCTCCAAAGGCCCAGCTGTATGCCTTTCCTTGTATTCCACAAGATACCCCTGTATCCTTAAGATAAATTCCCCCTTTTCTTTAAGCCAGTTAGAATATATAGTGGACTGCAATAGCTATAGTGTTGGTCTAGTAACTTGTTTCCCCCTTCTTTGGGTTTCCCCTGATTTTCATGAGGTCCTATCTAGTAGGACAAACTGTCAGGATAGCCGCCCCACCCGTCCCCCACCCCCCCCAGGGTGAGTACATGATCCAGACTGGCCAATCAGGCACCCTATCCCCCTGGCCACAATGATTGGTCTGTGTATGGGCTCATGACTCAAGCAAGACCAATCAATGTCTTCCCCAGGATTGATCTAGGGAGTTGGGAAGAGAAGTTCTCAATCTGCTGGAGTAGCTAAACTGAGATGATATTTTCAGAATGTTCAGCCACAATTTAAAAACCCACTTTGTGAAGAGACTCTACCTGCAGAATGAAACCAAGCAGAAACAAGCCAATTGAAGAGAAGGACAGGTAAAGAGAGAGCAGAGAGAATAAAAAAGAGAGAAAGGGAGGGAAGGGGGGGGAGGAGGAGGAGGAGGAGGAGGAGGAGGAGGAGGAGGAGGAGGAGGAGGAGGAGGAGGAAAGAAGGAAGGAAAGACACTTCCAAACCGGTCATTTGAGCCTTAGATGCTACTCTACCTAAAGCTAGGTCCATTCCCAAAATTTTCTGGTTATATTAAATTCTTGCAAAAGTAATTTGTTTGTTTTTTGTTATTACTTGAATTACAATTCATTACAAAGATTTTCTTTTCTTTTCCTTGTTTTTTTATTTTGAGATGGAGCCTTGCTCTTTCGCCAATGCTGGAGTGCAGTGATGCAATCTCAGCTCACTGCAACCTCGGCTTACTGCAACCTCAGCTCACTGCAACCTCTGCCTCCAGGGTTCACGAAATTCTCTTACCTCCCCAGGCTTCCACCACCACGCCCAACTAATTTTTGTAGTTTTAGTAGAGACAGGGTTTCCCATGTTGGCCAGGCTGGTCTCAAACTCCTGACCTCAAATGATCCACACACCTCAGCCTCTCAAAGTGCTGAGATTACAGGTGTGAGATACTGTGCCTGGCCGAATTTATTTTCTTATTGCTTTGTATAAACCAGCTGGAATTGAGTTTCCATTGTTTGCATTCTAAACTGACTTAAGTTAATTTCTCTTACTTGCAACCGAAATCTTCACCAATACAATACATACAAATACAGTATTGAAGTCTTGGAGTTCAGACAGCTTTCCCTGTAGAACTAACAAGACAACTGTTTTGGCAGGACCAATACAATACATACAAATACAGTATTGAAGTCTTGGAGTTCAGACAGCTTTCCCTGTAGAACTAACAAGACAACTGTTTTGGCAGGGCTTCCAAGTTACCCACATAACTCCTTCCAGATCTGCTTGCTGCAAATCCTTCAGCCTTTGATCTCCATTATGGGTTGAACTATATATCCCCTAAAAAAGTCGTAACCCCAGAACCTCAGAATGTAACATTATTTGGAAAAGGGTTGTTGAAGATGTAATTAGGTAAGATGAAGTCATACTGGAGTAGATGGAATTCTAATTTAATATAGTTGGTATCTTTACCAGAAGACAGACATATGAAGACAGAGACCCAAGGAGAACACCATACAAAAATGGAGGATCACATCTACAATTCAAATAACATCTATAAGCATCTATAAGTCAATGAATGGGATTACCAGAAGCTAAGAGAGAGTCAAGGCATAGATTCTTCCCCAGAAGTCTCAGAAGGAACCAACCCTACCAGCACCTTGGACTTCTGGCCTCCAGAACTGTGAGATAATAAATTTCTGTTGTTTTAAGCCACCCAATTTATAGTACTCTGTTATAGCACCCTAGGAAACTTGACGCAGTCCCTAAACCATATAGTGCTATTTAAGTGATGGTTGCACATATGGAAGGTGCTGCACTTGCTGGCTCCCATCAGGGATGTAATTTTACTCAGGTCAAAACAGCTGTCCTTAGGCCACCTTCCCACTCTGCTAACTCCCTTTTCACAATTTGTTTTCCTTTTGCTCTAAGGAAACTGGAAGCCTAGATGGAAATTCGGATAGCTTAGCCCATGGTCAACCCCAATGGAATTGAATTTAGAGCCCAGTTTCCAAGGGACTCAGACATCCAAGGAAGGTGGCATTTATGACTGGCTGTGAGGCAGAAGAAAGGGCACAATCAGAACCACATGCTTTGGCAGAGCTGGCTGCAAGGCAGGGACCCAACCGCTGGCATCCAAGGCCCCATTCCCAGTCTCTGCCTGGGTAGTTTGTGGCAGCCGTGTTGAATAACATGAGGATTGTCCTTCTCTTTTTCCCAAAAGCCAGTACCACCCTCCGACTCAACCTCTGCTATGGCCAGCCCAGGGAACAGGAAACGGAGGGGAGGGAAAGGCAATACAAGGAGTAAAACAAGCACAAAGCCTGGCAACTCCATCCCTAGGAGAGACACACATGAGAGGAGACCCCAGCTTGGATGCCTGTCCTCCTCAGCTAGCTAAGAAAAGATGAAGCTGACCTGGCATGACACCAGTGATGGGTAAAAGGCCATGCTGAGAGCTACACAGTTCAGCCGGAAATAGTATTAGGAACTACGAGAGAGATCCAGAGGTTGAATTGGTCATTGTTACTCAAGTGTTTTTTCCTCTAGTGTTTTCCTTCTGAGACACCATAGTCTCCTCCCTCATTCACGAACTCCTCACTCTGCCTGTTGGGAGGACCTGCCAACAGGACAGGACAGGCTGTCCAGCTTATCATGGGCGCAGCTGCTGAGTGCATTTCCAAGCCTCATCAAAGGGTGGGTGGAGAGGACAGTGTGGGAGCCACTCTCCTACCAAAAAAGGAATAACCTAAAGGGCACCAAGGAGCAAGCTGCAGCTTTAGAAAAACAAAACAGATCAAAACAATCTCCTCCGTGCAGATACTGGATACTTGATACTCCTTAGTTTCCCAGCAACAGCTCCATTCAGTTGGCATTTATTGATTTAATGTTCAAGTGAGGTCAGTACCAAGTATTAAATCAAACTTTGCCTGTCTTTAGGCCAGACAGGTTTTGGCGACTGAGATCCTATAGGCAGCAAGTGGATCCAGGTCAGGCTTCTCCATCTGATGTGAGCCTCACCTAGGCAGTCTCTCCTGCCCACTCCCATCCCTTGCCACATCACGCCACACCCCGCCCATGCCTCAGGGCCCTGGCTAGCCCCCACTTTCCTCTTCCCTCACCTCAGAGCCCAGCCTGAGCCCTATTTTTAAAAATCTGGGTATTGGGTGTAAGGAAGATTAAGGAGCCATGGTGTAGGATCATACCACACCATGTTCTTCACCAGTCCGAGAAAGGTTGGTACTTCCCAGTCTACAAAGATGGTTCTTTCATGGAGATTGCGATGGAGGGGAGGAATGAAATTCTGGGTCTGAGATTTTTGGGGGGTGGGGATTGGAGGGAACATTGATTTCAGTTTTGGATATACCACTTAAGAGTGTGTCAGATCTTGGGGCCGGGCGTGGTGGCTCACTCCTGTAATCCCAGCACTTTGGGAGGCTGAGGTGGGTGGATCACATAAGGTCAGGAGTTCGAGACCAGCCTGGCCAACATGGTAAAACACCATTTCTACTAAATATACAAAAAACCAGCCAGGCTGGTGGTATGCACCTGTAGTCGCAGCTACTCGGGAGGCTGAGGCAGGAGAATTGCTTGAACCTGGGAGGCGGAGGTTGCAGTGAGCCGAGATCACGCCACTGCACTCCAGCCTGGACAACAGAGAGAGACTCCATCTCAAAAAAAAAAAAAAAAAGAGCGTCTCAGATCTTGAAGTGGAATTATCGTTAAGGACATCCCACTCCCACACCATATTACATGCCAGCATTGCTACAGGAGATGGGGGTAAAGAGACAAATACAAGACAGTCCCCTTCAGGACCTTATCAATCAGTGGGGGAAAAACAAGAACAGGCAAACACAGCGGGATAAGTGCTCTGATGCTCTGAGGGAAATATGCCAAGGGTACCATGGGGATCAGCAAATATATCACCTGGTCCAAACTGTCCCCCACATATTCTTAAGTTCTCTGTAGCTCACAATATAAAATGGCTATGTAGGATTTCATCTTATACATGTCCTATAGTTTGACAAATTTCCTAATATTGAATGGTCCAATTTTCCCTGTGACCATCCTTGTACTCAACTCTTTGTCCAAACATCTGATTATTTTGTTTGTTAGGATAAATTTCTAGCAAGGGAATTATACCCATCAAAGGCTATGAAGATTTTTAGAAATTCCCTATTCCCTTTTTCAGTGAAGACTTTAACAAGGAAGTGGCCTGGTTAGATTTGTTTTACTAAGATAGATCTGGAGAGCAGAGAGGAAAATGGGTTGGGGGAGCAACACTAGAGTCAGAGAAACCAGTTAGGAGAATGTGGATGCCAGATTAATGAAGTGGATAAACAAGTGTCCATGGGTGTGGAGAAAAAGGATAAAGATGAGAACTACTAAAGAGGTGGAGTTAATATGACTGGAGGGTATAGGAGTTAATATGACTAAAAGGGTATAGGAGCCAGGCATAGTGGCTGACATCTGTAAACCCAGCATTTTGTGAGGCTAAAGTGAGAAGATCGCTTGGTGCCAGGAGTTTAAGACCAACCTAAGCAATACAGTGAGAGCCCATCTCTAAAACAATTTAAAAATTAGCCAGGCATGGTGGCACGTGCCTATAGTCCCAGCTACTCAGGGGGCTGAGGCAGGAGAATTGCTTGAGGCCTGAAGGTTGAGGTTGCAAGGAGCCATGTTTGTATCACTGCACTCCAGCCTGGGCAACCAAACAAGACCCCGTCTCTGAAAAAAAGGTTGGGAGGGAAGCAAGGTGTAGAATATGGGAAATAAAAGAGGGAAGAGCAAAAGAGGATTCTGTGATCTCACCTTGCATTTTCTATATAAATAAATAAAATAAATAGTCCAAGTTTTCTGGATTGAGCTATCATCCACCAAGAAAACAAATGTAGAATGAGGAGCAGCTCTGGAAGCAAGATAAAATGAGCTCTGCTTTGGACATTTAGGCTTCCCATTCCTGTGGGTCCCCCAGTGGAGAAAGCTGGGCTGTAATTCTGAAATTAAATTCTTTATTCTGATGATCCAAATGCATCTGTCTCACCAGTTAAAGAGCTCTGGTGACACAGATGCATGTGGATCATCAGAATAAGGAGGATAGTTTGTACCAGATAGGTAATTTATACAAATTGGAAAGAATCACATTTACCTAAAAATGGTGGCTCTCAAAATTTTTATCTACCTCAGCCCAGTTGAATATCAAAACATGTTTCTTCAGTGGGGGTGTACACCACATACACCCTAGAGAAAGCATATCAGAATTGAGGAGGGGGCAGGATGGAGTTTATAGTTTCTGGGATCAGAAGGAGAGAATAAATGACCCTGATACTCTTACTCAGAAAGGCATGCTCTCCCCTCCCTCCTCTCCCTTGGGAATCACTGCTTTAAAGACACAGAGATGATAAAGAGCCGATAGCCCATCTGCCCACTACTTAGTAGGCAATGAATGAATTTGCAAGTGTTAACTTGGGAGTTCAACTTCACAGTTTGGGCTGCAAAGACTGACCCTTCCTCCAGGAGCACCGTGGACCCAAGCCTCCAACACCCCAGCCTACATTAGCAAGAATTCCAGACTATCCACAACATCATGTGTGCATACATTCCTGCCAGAGCCTCCCACACCATGGAAGCATTTGCTCAGCGTGGCCACCACTGGTTACCATGCTGGGACAAGCCAGTCTACTGGGAAGTGAGCATGCCCACATCACACGGGACTCTTTAAGGGAGGGTATATCACAGCCTCCTACCTCCCCATCCACATTACCTCTTTGGGAAGGACTTTCATTTGCTGAGTTGTTTGTCTTTCTTTCATGATATTATTGTCTTGGATGTTTGGTGATTCTTGATTGGTGCTCTTCTGAGTAAGTCTTGGGCTTAGTTTCTTGACACAGGAGCCGCCTGGCTTGTGGTTTCAAGTCTGATTTACTTTGGGTTTCCTGTCTGCATCACTCTCTTAGGAATGCTTAGCTATTTCTGGTCCAGCAAGACAGTTTCCTGTTATGTTTTCATGTTTGCAGTTCTTTAATTGATTTACAAAATATATTTGCTATCATCTCTATCAATTTAATGCAGAAAAAAGTCATCATATTTTCAGTCCTGTATCTTGAAACCAGGCTGGGACAGAGCATTAAAGGGGGGCAAGGAGGGAACTGGAGTGCCAAAGTGAGGGAGTAATAGAAATGCAATCAAATGGCCCCCAAGGGGACACAGTATAGTCCAGGCCAGCTGCACTGTTCCCAGCTTGCCTCCATGCTCCTGAACCCTACTCCTGCCCCTCAGAACATCTCCTTCCACTGCCCATCCCTTGAAGGTTTAGAGTTCCATCTTATTGCAGGTACATCTCATTTTTCAGTTTTCTAAAAGTGTCTGCTTATGTGGATAAGGGGAAATAGGAAAGAAAAGATGAGTGTTTTTAATCCCCCTTCACCACCTCTTTCTTTCTTGTAGACTTTATAGGAAAAAACTCTGTGGCCCAGAACTATCAGGGTCCTTAGATTTACTAATGATTAAAAAGACACATCCATGGCCACTACCAGTCCAACCACTGGAAATTTCACTTAGTGTAAGAGAAGAAGGGATGAAGTCAAGGTGGGAATGGATCCAGGCCCTTTCTGGGAAGCAATCAGCAGAGGGAGAGTGGAGCAAGAAGGTGAGTTCCAAGCACAGTTGGAGCCACAGCTATTCTCAGGTCAGTGGTGTAAAGGGAGTCTCATGCAAAGAAACATCTTCCTCAAAGTAACCACCTGGAAAAGTGGTTTTTATTTTCTTTTATTGTTTTGAGACAGAGTCTCACTCGGTCACCCAGGCTAGAGTGCAGTGGCACAATCTCAGCTCATTGCAACCTCCACCTCCTGGGTTGAAATGATTCTCCTGCCTCAGCCTAGCCTCCCAAGTAGGTGGGATTACAGGTGCCCACCACCACATCCAGCTAATTTTTGTATTTTTAGTAGAGATGGGGTTTCACCATGTTGTCCAGGCTGGTCTCAAACTCCTGATCTCAAGTGATCCACCCGCCTTGGCCTTCCAAAGTGCTTAGATTACAGGTGTGAGCCACCGCACCCTGCCAAAATCCTCATTTTAACAAAGGAGACCTTTTTAATAAAAATTTAGGAAACCCTCCATTGACTTTAGGATGTAACTTTATTCTTCCGCATGTCCTCAAAATGGCAAATCTTTATCATTTCAGGACAGACTTGATGATTGAAATGTCTAAAGTCATTTGGAGTGAAGCCTAGACAATAAGCTGGTCTTTTTCCTTTTAGGTCAAAATCTAGGTGTGTTACTTTGAGAAGGTGTAGATGAAAAAAAAAAATCTAAGTGTGGCCAGTTGAGTGATTGTTTTTCTCCTATGCCTTGTAAGATTGCCCACAAGGGAAGTGGCCAGTCCAGTAACCATCATGCCCACTGGTCAACCATCTTGATGGTGTTAGGTGCAGCGTAGCAAGTGACATTTCCTACTAGGATCAGTGCTACTGAAAGAAAAGACCCTCATCCTTTGACGACCTTAACTTTTGGCTGGGCACAGTGGCTCATACCTGTAATCCCAGTACTTTGGGAGGCTGAGTCAGGAGGATCATTTGAGCCCAGGAGTTCAAGACCAGCCTAGGCAATATAGGGAGACCCTGTCTCTAAAAACAGTAATTTTTAAAAAAATTAGTCAGGGTTTCAGTAAGCTTAGATCATGCCACTGCACTCCAGCTTGGGTGACAGAGTGACTCAAAAAAAAAAAAGAAACAAATTAGCCAAGTGTAGTGGCTCATGCCTGTGGTCCCAGCTACTCAAGAGGCTGAGGTGGGAGGATCACTTAAGCCCAAGAAGTTAAGGCTATAGTCAGCTAAGATCACACCACTACACTCCAGCCTGGGTGACAGAGTGAGACCTTCTCTCAAAAAAAATAAAAATAAAGACCTTAACTTTTCTGGGTCCGTGGTAGCCTTATGTTGGGTCTGGATTCTTCTCTCTAACGACCCTGCCCCTGAGCTCCTCATCAGCCCTATCTATCTCAAACTCTGTGTTCAGGTACAAGTGTAATTCTTCCAGTTATCCCACTGTGGCTGAGCATCTGCCTCTAAATAATTCCAACAACAGAGAATAGAAAAAGCAAACAGTGAAAGTATCCTTCCCAATCTCACAGGACTAGGCTATTTCTATTAATGACTCAGCAGGTATCTTTCTAGAGGATCACCCTTTGGGGACTCTTAAGAACATTCTTCTACCTAAATCAATGCATGTATTCTGAATACTAGACACAATCCACAGCAACGCCCCACTGATGCTTCCACTGCAGAGCCTAAAAAGGGGTATGATTACCTTAGAAGGTTTTTGTCTGTTCAGGCTGCTATAACCAAAGACCATAGATTGGATGGTTTCTAAACAACAAAAACTTATTTCTCACAGTTCTAGATGATGGGAAGTTCAAGATCAAGGTGCCAGCAGATTTAGTATCTAGTGAGGACTCATTTCCTGGTTTGCATACAGTGCTTTCTTGCTGTGTCCTCAAGGTGGAAAAGAAAGTGGGGAAGGGTCTCTTATAAGGACACTAATCTCATTCATGAAGATTCTGCTCTTTATTAATCACCTCCGAAAAGCCCCACCTCTTAATTCCATCACCTTGGGGGTTAGAATTTCACCATACAAATTGTGGAGGATATGAACATTCAGACCATAGCACTGACAGAAATGGACCAATTCCAGAACCTGGAGATCTTTTGGTGCTATAATCTACACCAATCTTGGGTCCTAACAGAACCTGGCTGGGTCATGGGAGAAGCAAGGCGGTGCTGCTGGGCTGGCCAAAGCGGCAGGGTCAGCAGTCCTTCCTGGTTTGAGTAGCCAATGGTCTGGGAACAGGATCTGGTCTGAACTCCTCCTTATCCTGGCTGTGTGACGTGGACCATGTCCCTCTGCTCTGCAGCCTCCTCACCTAGCGAAGACAGAGTTAGAATAAAGGGCATCTAGCTGAGAAGCTGCTCTGGGTACCAAACTATAATGCAGTGGAATGGATAAAATTTTATTGACTGGAATTCTGCTGAAGGAGTGTCCGGAATGTAGTTTAAAGTAATTTTTTATAAGCTGCCAGGTATTTGGGGCTACAGGTGCATTTCTACAGTACAAATTCATTGCCTTGGCCTGCTCAGTATCCATTTCTTTGTCTTTTGGCACTGGAAGCCACATTTTTGGGGGGTATTGCCTATCCTATTCTTAGTCCGTGTGGTACAGGAGGTCCAAGTGCACTGGGCTCTTGGAGCTGGCATGCACCCAGACATGGCCAATCTGGCCAACCATTACTGGTTACAGTGATTGATTTAGAGTTGGGCAAACAACTAAGTCAATCCCATGATATTCAACCCTTTGGGGACATTTTTGGGAACTGTCAGAAAGATTCTTTTGATTGGGGCTGCTAAGAGGATAGGATACAAGCCAGGAACTTCTGATGACTTCTTGCTGCTGTCAGTGGGGTAACCTTACTAGAGGACAGAGCAAAAGGAATGAGGCTTGGTGATATCATTCAACCCCTGGATCCAGTTTATGTCTGAAGTGAGGTCCATCCCTGGTCTTTTCCTTTATTGAGTCAATACATTTGCTTAAGCCTGTATGAGTTGTTTTTAGTCACTTACACTCAAGAAAAAAAAATCCTAGTATGATTTCCAAGGGGAATGCTTGCGTAACAAAAGATAACCAATTCTGAAGAAACATGCAAAATTGGGTGCTGCCTCCACACCTTCCTTTTCTAACCTTCTTTCACAAGGTGTTCATCCTCTCATCTCTAAGTAGATATTGAGCAAACATTTAAATCATGCCCATTTGAAAGAGCACTAAGGTAAAATCTACTAAAGATACTATACGTCACGGCTCAGAGCAATTGGAACCCCAAGTTTTGTGTTCTTGCTGTAATTTCTTCACCAATTGTGTGATCTTAAGTAAGTCTGATAGTTTTTCTAAGCCTAAACTGAGAAGTGTCTGTGAGGATGAAATGCAACAATGTTCAGAGAAATGTTCTGAAATCCTTAAAGCAGTGGCAATGGTGAGTCAAGAAAAATAGGAGCACTTGCCACACTGGAAGTCAGCTGCTTTGTAGAAGAAAGAACCTAAGGGAAGGAGGCAGCACTTTATATCAAAGCAGGGAGGCTCAGCATGGACATTTTAGTATCAGAAGATCAGTGATGCTAAATGGAACGTCCGCTCTTTGAGTGACGAGTGAGCTGTCCTCCAATCTTACCCCTTGTTCTATCTTCTAACCCTCCCCTCCAATGCAGACAGACATTCGAGATCTGTGGCAAGAAGTTCAAACTTTCCAGAACCTTTCAGAATAATTACATAACCAAGATAGGTAACCAACAAGAGATGACTACTGGCAGGAGTGGGTGGCAAGCAATTTTACAGTATAACTCTTATTACAGCCTTTTCAAGAAAGCACAAGGACCTCTTTTAAGCATCTAAAACTTTCATAGATCTGTTTCTATATCATAATAGAATCTGTTGATTGAGAAAATATGGGCCAAGCATGCTGGCTCATTCCTGTAATCCTAGCGCCTTGGGAAGCAGAAGGAGGACTCTTTGAGGTGTGGCATTCGAGACCAGCCTAGGAAGCATAGTGAGACCCCATCTCTACAAAAAATTAGAAAATTATCCAGGTGTGGTGGCACATGTCTATAGTCCTAGCTACTCAGGAGGCTGAGGCAGGAGGATCACCTGAGCCCAGGAATTCAAGTCTGCAGTGAACAGAGATCATGCCACTGCACTCCAGCCTGGGCAACAGAGAGCGACCCTGTCTCAAACAAACAAAAAGTACACAATGAAGTAAGCATGAATTCAGTAATGCTTTAAAATGCATTTGTACATTATTCATAATAACAGTGGTTCTTAACATTTGGGAAGACAGTCTCACAAGATGTACAAAGCATATTATGTGTTAAGTATTCCAACAGTCCTCACGGGGCACGCAGATTCCCGGCAAACAAGTAGGACAGTCCCTGAGGGACTGGAGCAGCTAACCCACTCCTGTTCTCTCGCAGGACCCCTTACTTTGCCAAAGCTGTTTTCTTAGCACTGTTAAAAAGGTATTCAGAACACACTGCCTCCATCTGAGGTTGTTTTCTACTTCCTTTCTCACTCTTCTTCTCAAGTGGGTGCCCGAGTGGTTCAAGGTCTCTTTCACTTTCTGCACTCCCAAAGAAAAGACTCAGGACTACAAATAGAACTCATTCAGATTGTCAAGAGCTGCAAAAGTTTATCCTGTGCACACAGGGTCAACAGATTTTAAAAGCACTGCCATTAACTCCACATCTTGAAGATACTCAGAGAGTATTAGCCAAGCTCTTTTCCGGAGAGTCTATTAACAGAGAAGCAGGTGAAGCAGGGGCTTGTTTTAGGTACAAGAGTATATTTTCAAAAACCAGCTTAAAAAGCTCAAGCTCTCTCTGCCTTCCCAGCAAGCAGGTCCATTGAAACCAAGGACCATGTCTTCACATCTCAGTGACAGCAGGTGGTGTCCTAGTCTGAATTCTCTAAAAATCTAGTTGTTTCAAGGTTCGGGCTTGACCTAACAGTAACCACAGGACTTCAGGAAACCCTTCATATCTCCTTGGTTCCTCCTCTCCAAGGATGTCTCCCTGACCTCTTCCAACTTCTTGCTGAGAACCTAAAGTGAGCTTTCCTGCCATATTGAGCCTCTGAGCTAAGAGGAAAAAAAGAACAGTCTGTGTAACTCTCAAGAAAATGGGGACATTGTAATAATCATATAACCACTACAAAATCCAACCCTATCCACATACCTGGCCCCTCTAATTTCTAGAAGCCCAGACAATAAGGGAAGATGGCACAGAGTCAGTTGGCCTGATGGCCACTGATCCGAAGCTCATGTGTCGGGGTATTCAATGCCGTAGGGCTGGGGCTGGGGTTAGGCATGAGCCTGGATTTCCCACCTAGATTCCCTACAACTACTCGGCTTCTCAAAAATATCCCAATCAAGAATGCAAGAGCTGGCCAAGTGCAGTAGCTTACGCCTGTAATTTCAGTACTTTGGGAGGCCAAGGCAGGAGGATCACTTGAGCTCGGGAGTTTGAGGCCAGCCTGAGCAACAGAGCAAGACCTCATCTCTACAAAAAATTTTAAAGAATTAGCCAGATGTGGTGGAGCACACATGTGGTCCCAGCTACTTGGGAGGCTGAGGTGGGAGGATCGCTTAAGCCTGGGAGAGGCTGAGACTACAGTGAGCTATGGTCATGCCACTGTACTCCAGCCTGACACAGCAGGACCACGTCTTGAAAAAGAAAAACAACAAACAATCTAACAAGAGCTTTATTTGCTGTATTTCTCAAAAAATCCTATCAGACTAGGAACACCCAAAGTATGATCTGCAGAATAAGAGCACTACATAATGCGAATAGTCTCTTTCTCTCTCTTTGTTCCAGGGTAGGAAGAGTCCCATGGTTAGGTGAGTTTGAACAGTGCTAGGTAAAACAGAGTTTCACCCGCAAGACTTCCTGCAGTGTTTGCTGTTAATGTACACTGTGGGAGACTGCTGCATTTTCTAAGCACCCCATGATGCTAGTGTATCATGGAACGTCCTCTGGGAAGCACTATATTGGACCTAAAGAGACCTAAATTTGCAAGCTGAGCGCTCTGACCCAGAATCCTGGAGCCAGATATGGAAAATGGGTAATGTCCAGGGGCCTAAGCCACTTGTCCGACATTGGAGCAGGACTCCTGAAGCATCTTTTGTGGCCTCTTCTGAGGCCTCTCTCACAGGTAAGTTGTGTATATAGTTTTTTGCTGTTGTTGATTTTTGAGGGTGCAGAGGAGCAACGCAAAGAGGATTCCAAATTTTATTTTTTTTGAGGTGGAGTCTCACTGTCACCCAGGCTGGAGTGCATTGGCACAATCTCAGCTCACTGTAACCTCCACCTCCCAGGTTCAAGTGATTCTCCTGCTTCAGCCTCCTGAGTAGTGGATTACAGCCACCCACCACCATGCCTGACTAATTTTTGTATTTTTAGTAGAGATAGGGTTTCACCATGTTAGCCAGGTTTGCCTTTAACTCCTGACCTCAAGTGATCTGCCTGCCTTGGCCTCCCAAAGTGCTGGGATTACAGGCGTGAGCCATTGCACCCAGCCAGGATTCCTAATTTTTATTTGCCTTGAGGTTGACGGAAAATTACTAGACTTCTACCTGAGATTCTTAATATAAACTAACGTGTGTGTGTGTGCGTGCACGTATATACATACACAAATATGTGTGTACATATAACTATAAAAAATAGTGTGAATTATTTGAAAATGATAAGCACCTCTACACTCCCGCCCACTGGAGGAGTCACAGGTTTGACATGTCTTCATTGCTCTTCCATAGGTAGCTCTTGACATTGTTGCCATCAATTCAATTCATGGTCTTGGCAATGGGCAAAAAATCTGGTCTTCCTCCCCAACTCCTAAATCTGTTTTCCAGAGGTTAGAAAAGGCAAAACCATGGCCGGTGCAGTGGCTCACACCTGTAATCCCAGCACTATGGGAGGCCAACACAGACAGATCACCTGAGGTCAGGAGTTCAAGACCAGCCTGGCCAACAGGGTGAAACCCCATTTCTACTAAAAATACAAAAATTAGCTGGGCGTGGTGGCAGGTGCCTGTAATCCCAGCTACTCAGGAGGATGAGGCAGGAGAATCGCTTGAACCTGGGAGGCAGAGGTTGCATGCAGTGAGCTGAGATCACGCCCCTGCACTCCGCCCAGATGACAAGAGTGAAACTCTGTCTCAAAAAAAAAGGAAAAGAAAAGAGAAAGGAAAGGGAAAAAGAAAAGGCAGGATCACGATGGTGAGCAAGAGCATCAACTGACATTTTTTTTTATGCTGCGCCTGGACCCCTCCTCTTGGCCCACAACAACCATGCTGCTCCCACACCTAGAATTGGTCAGTGCCACTTCTCCTCCCTCTGGGTTATCATCCAGAGTATTGCTCCCCCTTCTAGCCCAAGAATGCCACTGGCTAATATGACAAACCTCTGCCAAGTATCCATGATGACTTTGGCCTTCTGAGTCCAATGATCTTGCCTTTGTTCGGCATCGTTTGTTAAGGTGAATTCATCCTTGTCCACTCAATTCTATACCATAATGCTGGAAGATTCAGGAGGGTGAAAGATGGTGGTGGGCAAGAGATATTGTGGGGCATCTTTCTGAGAATATTTAAGGAACTAGGCAGTGTAGTCTACAGTGGATGACTGCTGCTTCTGCCTATCCAGTATCAACTGTGTCTTTTGTAAAAGCATTCATATTTCCCTTTGGGAATCACCTCTTCCTTTCTTCTTAGTCCATATAATTTGGGTGAGGCTGATATCATTACCACTCCAGGGATGAGAACAGAACCCAGATCTGGTCAATCAGGGTGCCCCGTGTTCAGCAGAGGGAGACACAATTCTGATAGATTTTTTTAAAGTATATTTTTTTAAAGTGCTGAATAGAGAGAATCACTACCCAATAAATCCCATGGCGGGTACAAGGTAGATATTTCCCATTTGCAGATGAAGGAAGTAAGGGTCGGAAGGATGGAGGCACAGTCCAATGCTACTGACACAGCTAGGATTCAGTATTGGGTAGAGAACCTCTATCCAGTACTTAAGGATTGCCAAGAGAACAGCGTATGAAAACAATGCCTGCTGGAGAAGGAAGACAACACAAAAGAAGGCAGAGACGGGGGAGAGGTGAATTCTTGAACTCCTGGCCTCAAGTGATCCTCCTGCCTTGGCCTGAGAGTTAAATTCTGATGACATTGTTTTAATCCCTGGATCCAACTTTACCTGAGGCTAAATGCATTACTAAACTTCTTAGTTTAAAAAGCCTATAAATTCTGCTGTTTGAATCAATTTTTTATTTGCAACTACATTCTACCCAAGCACTCCTGCCTTAACACTCACCCAAGTTAAACTGACTTCCACATTCCTGTCATATCTCTGGACTCATGAAACCTAGTCTTTCACTCTACCATCAGTCAAGGAGGCAACTCATAGTTTTTTCATGCCTAGTATTGCCATGGCCTGTATAGCATGCATGCTTAGCCTTCACAGCCTTTTGCAGTAGGTTTTGTTCATATCCTGATGAGGAAGCTGGGGTTCAAAAAGCTGAATGATTTGCTCAAAGGCATGTCTTAGGCAGAAGACCCAAGACCAGAACCTTAGGCTTGTTTGACTTTTTCTATTACATGATGTTCCATGCAGCCTCAGGCTGACTGCAAGAAACATCAGCTGACACATAAAATTCCAGAATTGGCAACTAGAGATGACAATTCTTTTTCTTTCTTGGTGGGAGAGGAAAGGATGGAGTTCCTTACAACTCAGTTTGGTTTGGTGTACACAGTGGCTTCAGGACCTGCCAGGTCAGCCAGGCCTCTTCCTCTGTGCCCACTAGAACACAGTGAACTCAGAGATGCCCGTAGGCCCTCACTTTAATTCTTTTAACATGTGACATGGGATAGTTTGACCTCAACCCACATGCAGGTGTCATAGCTCGTCTCTGGTCTTCTAGCTGAGTACATCTAAGTACTAGATCTTAAAGATAAATGCTGTGACTCATTCTGACATTAACCTGTTATGCAGAAGTCTGCTTTGAATCTTTACCAAGGATCAAACAACTAAAAAGAATCCCAATCACAAATGTTTAATAAATCTTCTCAATCCCTGGGTGCGCACAAGGTAATTTCTCATTTTCAGATGAGTGAACTAAGGGTCAGAAGGATGGAGGCCTAGCACAATGCTACTGACACAGCTGGGATTCAAACATAGGTCTAATTCCTAAGCCTGTGTATTTCCACAATGCACAACTGAAATTCAAAAGGCCAGCCAGCTTTATGTATTTTAAAAAGAAACCAAAAACCTTTCTCATAAATAATGGAATTAATTTTCAACAGAGACTTAAAAAAAACTTTAAGATAATGGCTATGCCAAATCTTAAAAGTTGACCCCTACCACCACAGGTGAACAGAGGAGAATTAAGCAATGACAGGGTGCGGTGAGTGCTAAGGAGCAGGGGAGGCATCTATGAGAACATGTTGCAAGGGGTGTATTGTGGGGATAAAGGGGTTCCTCAGGAACAGGTGAGGCTTTAAGACTGAGGAGGCAGCTCCATGGGAGGAGGGGCAGGCTTAGATGGTTTTACTTTCTAGGTTTCTAATGAGTGTTAGCAAACCACACATATTAAAATGTAGCTCAGCCAGGAGTGGTATCTCATGCCTGTAATCCTAACACTGGGCAGCTGAGGTGGGCAGCTTACTTGAACCCAGGAATTTGAGACTAGCCTGGGCAACACAGCAAAACCCTGTTTTTTAAAAAAATTAAGAAAGAAAAGAAAGAACAAACATGTAGCCCTATCTCAAATCTCTGAAAGGCTATTTATAATCTTGCCTTTTAAATGGGTTGGTGATCAGCAATCATTTAACGTGCGTACCTATGACTCCTTGGCAATCACTGTGTGCACTTAGAAATTCTTGTGACGTGATCACTTTGGCAGAACATATACTAAAACTAGAAATTCCTGTGAAAAAAGAAATTCTCACCTATATTGTTCAGTATCTTAACAAGTAAGTTGAAGAAAATTAAGCTGCACAATGTTTCATTTAGTAGATATTTAATTATTCTTGCTCTATTCTTTGCATAATTTGCAGCCAGGATTATTTTTCCTGGTTTCTTGCAAGCATTTCATAGGTCCTTCAAAGCTTATAGATCTTAGGCACGACAACTTTCATTGTCTAATGGGTAAAATAGCCGGATGGTCAAAACAGAGCTTAGAACCAAGAGGAGAGCATGTGGGACGGTCCAGGAACCAAGTGCATGTAGCACCTAAAACAGCCTGAGGTTGGGTTGCCATAACTGAAGCCAGGTCCCATTTCAAAAAATAACATGCTTCCTTGAAGATTACAAAGAACCTTAGGATGGCTCACCATCCCCAGATGTACCAGGAAGCAGCAGCTGCCCTTACCTTTGCGGCATCATTTCTCTCAAGATGGGTATCAGTTGCCCAGATGGGCCCCAGGGAATCCAGCAGCAGCCCCACCACTCTATAGCAGCCAACTCTATAAGGCACATGTCTCTTAACCAGGCTGGATCATTATCTTTTGTCTTGACAGTGGCCCTCTGATTTCTTTATCAATTGAAATATGTAATGTCCCAAATTGTAGCAGAAATAAATCAACAAATTAAGCAATCTGAGGATTTTGGACAGAAGGCTCTTTGGAGGGTTGGGAATGAGGAGGAAACAGGAATAGAGAATCCCTAGCCCTCAGAGACACTTGAATACCCAAAATATCTAGGATGTTTTAAAACAGGTGCTGACCCCAAGGCCTGTGCTCAGGGCTGGGGGTCGGACTACCTGACAGGTACAGGCCAAATGTGACCAGGAAGGAGGGCAGCCCCACCAACCCCTGACCACAGGACAGCTTTTAATTGCAGTGTAAAGGAGCTTGGCTTTCATTAGATGCCAAACATTGATAAAGTGTTCCACTCAAATGGCCTCTTAGATGTGGCCAAGAAAAGTACAAAAAGACCCAACTTGCCTGTTGACAATCCCATTAACTTTTAGTCACTTCTAAAGAACAGGCTAGCACCTTCTGAACATGGAAACCCAAGTGCGAGCTACTTCTTGTCCACTCTGGAGCTGGGTGAGGGACAATGGAGATCCTGGGTGGGCACAGGCCCCGCAGTGCTGCATTCCCACTCATCACAGACTAAAACTGCCATCTGTACACGCCAGGTCTATAACACTATCAACTGGGAAGGTCAACAGAACCCCACATTTGAATTCTCACACCCTGGAACAAAGGCCCAGTAAATCCACTTCTTCAGCTCACTCTGATCCCGTCCCCCAGTTGAACTCCACCCTCACCTCAGGCACTTCTCCAAAACTTTGGAAATTGTTTCCCTGGTGCTTAAGTTTCCCCATCTACCTTTGAGTTCTTCAATTGCTCCCAGCCTCCTGTACTCCATCCTGCCTACTTCCTTTGCCTCCCTCCAGCACCTTTAACTCCTCTACTCAGTGGCCATAAAACTAAGTGCCAACATTGATCTCGCCTAGCAGCCTCCCAACACAAAGACCTAACAGGAAATGGCCACATCATGGTCTTCTGCAGTTTGGTGTGAGGACAGGCACCATGGTACAACTTGAATTTTTCTCTTTGTAATTTGGTTCTGTGATTGGCTATCCTTTACCGCTTTTTTGGAAATGATTTTTTAAACTAAAGAAAATCCAAAGGGAGAACATCAGGATAAATAGCTAATGCACCCTGGGCTTTATACTTAGGTGATGGGTTGATAGGTGCAGCAAACTACCATGGCACATGTTTACCTGTGTAACAACCCTGCACATCCTGTACATCTATCCTGGAACTTAAAATAAAATTAAATTGGGGGGAGGGGGGAAACTCCAGCCTAGGCAACAAAGTGAGACCCCCCCATCTCTAAAAAAGAATTTTTGTTTTAAATTAGCTGAGTACAGTGGCTCATGCCTATAATCCCAGCTACTTGGGAAGCTGAGGCAGGAGGACAATTTGATCACAGGAGTTTGAGGCTACAGTGAGCTAGGATTGCACCACTGCACTCTAGCCTGGGTAAGATCCTGACTCAAAAAATAATT